ACTAATATTTTTACATAATAATAAATAATATTTGTAATAGTAATATATTAATAATTAAATAAATGAATAAAAGAAAATTAGTATAAAAAAGAAAAAGACAACAAAAAGACAAAAATACAAAAAAATAAATAAAAAAACATCATTATATATAGGAAATAAGGGTGTCATTGGTAAAAGTAGGGGTGCCATTAGGCTCTCCTAATTTAGTTAATACATGATATAGAAAAGGGGAAGACTAATGGCACCCCTATCCTTTAACAATGTCACCCATATCTCCTACATAATCATTTCCTTTTTGTTTGTTGTTTTTATAATTTTGTCTTTTTGTTGTCTTTTTTTAATACTATTTTTTTTAGTTATTTTATTTAATTATAATAATATTACTATTACAAATTATTTATTATTCTGTAAGAAAATAATACTAAAAAACATTATTTTTTAATCATAATTTCTATAAAAATATTATATGTTTTCTTTTTCCTTTTAAAAATTTTCCTTAAAAAACAGTACCTTTTTCTAATAATTGTTATTAAGAAAAATATATATTTTCCTTTTTTACTAACCATCCTTAAAAATCGTAATTTTTAATAATTATTTATTAAAAAATAACCTTTTTTATATTATTAAATTCAATATAATAATAATATTATTATATTCTTATGTATTAAAAAAGATTTATTTAATAACTATCTGGATAGATTAAAAGTCGGGAAAACAATGACTTAAAAATCATTTTTTCACTTATTTGATTTGTGAGACAAGTAAACCATGATATGTAACATTTTTTTTAGTTTAAATGATCCAAGTAAACAATTTTTAAAAGTTTGATAATTTATTAATTAAAATATATATATAAGGATATTTTTTTATAAATAACTATAACTTTGTGAATTGCATGATATTAATTTTTTATATTATTTTATTCATTATTTTTTAACTACATTATTTTAAGATTATTAAAATAACCCAAGAAATTTGAAATACTGCTTTTTGTAAAAGCGATTACATTTTTCAAGTCATTTTATAATGATAACTTTTAAATTATACTATTTAAAAAAAGTTAAAATAATTTAAGTAATCAATTTAAAAAAAAAACTCAATCATTTAATTATTCAAAAAAAATGCAACAACTTAATCATTAACATATATAAAAAGAGTTCAACAACTTATTCAATCAAAAAAGTTAAAGAACTTAATAATTTAAAATGGAAATATTTTCTTTAATTTTTGAACCTTTTTCTTATTTAAATTAATACAGATGGTTTTTATAAATATCTCATCCATTAAAGTAACTAATTATTCATAAAAATTAACTTCTGGATTAAATTATTTTAGGTCTTTTAAAATAATTATGATGAAACTTTAATACTAATACATATAT